AGGTGCAGAGACAGATGACCTTGGCTTTCTAGAAAGGATTTTGTTATGGCTATATCGCAGAGACGTGAAGTCACTAGAGGCAAGGGAGGCGGAGCCTCACCAGTCTCCTCAGGAAAAAGAAAGAAATTTAAATATATTTTTTTAAATAATTAAAGCCAAGATAGTTGCTACCAGATTCCAGCTCACAGTGGCTTGGTGTCTGCTTAGTGTTAACCAAAGCAGGAGGCGAGAGAACTCGGGGCCTCTTTTCCATAAGGAATTTTTCTTCTTCTAAAAGTGGGGCACTTTGCATCGCGGGAGCAACCAAGCACCTGGGTCTGCAGCAAAGGCACTTGGTGGCTCCCGTGATGCAAAGTACCATGCTGCCCCCCCGCTGTCCCGGCCTGCGTCTGCTGCTTCTCCAAGGTCCGCCGCTGGAAGTCCCGGATCGCCTCTGGGGGAAGGCTGAGTGAGAAACGGAACGAAACTTCTCCGCGGCCTCCCGGCACTACGCAGAGGCTCTTGCAGGAGCACGTGTCAGCGGCCGGTGGCCCGGAGCGGCCCCGGCTGTGAGACAAGGGAGCGCTTAAAGTAGCTGCTGCTGCTGCCGCCACCACCGCCCCACCGGCCCTGAGTTCTCTCGCCTCCTGCTTTGGTTAACACTAAGCAGACACCAAGCCACTGTGAGCTGGAATCTGGTAGCAACTATCTTGGCTTTAATTATTTAAAAAAATATATTTAAATTTCTTTCTTTTTCCTGAGAAGACTGGTGAGGCTCCACCTCCCTTGCCTCTAGTGACTGCACGTCCCTGATGTATTATTATATAAGATAATAAACAACATTATTTTCTACTGGGGCCTTTGAGACATTAATTCAATTACTGCATTCCAACATAGCTGAAGATATTAGCTTGGGAAAAGCTGATAGAAAATTTCCTTAGGTCTTCAGGTCCTTATATAATTTTTGTATTTTATAGTGAGAAAATTTAGAGGATGAAGAGAATATTTACAAGTGATGCCCAAAATGTTCAACAATGCATCCAGCTCCTTGACACATCCATGAAAACTTCTTCCAAGTTCAAGTGTCTTGTGTTGATCCTACTTTATAAAGTTATGGGATGGGATGGACTAATCCTGTTTAACTAAGCTTTCCCTAACATGACAAGTGAACATTTGGGAATTCTCAGTTTAACTTTTGCTTCTGATCTGACATGAGCAAAAGGTTTCGGCAAGAGGTCTACATTACAGGATTGTCCTCAACAGACCTGACAAAAAGCACTTTGAAGACTCTGAAGTTTATAAGATGCTGACGTTATGGAGCAATTTATATTCGGATTTAATTAATCCTCTTCTTCCTCCTTAATTAAAAAAAAATCATTCGGCTGAAGAGAAACTTCAGTAATGCTAAACACAAGGCACAATTTCTTCAATACTTTCCATTTTAAATAACACATTTGTTTACAGAATGGGTATATCATAAATCTTTTTATTAATTATGTCCATGCAATGAAGTAAATTACCCCAAGAGATGCTGTTTGCGACTTCTGTGTAGTGAATTCTGTATCCCAAAAGGAAACCCAAGCAATCTTTCGCAGGTATCTCAGTCCATTTCACAACAGCTGAATGTTTGGTCACAACTGGAATTATTAAATTAGCTGGACCTATCCTGGGAACTTAAAAAGAGCATCCAAATCAATTTTCCATTTTCCAAAATTATTTTGATCAATTGTATACATTCTCATGCTGTTAGACTTTGCAAAGTACTGATACGAAAGAAGAATTCTTGATAGATAGCTCCTATCTATCACAACAATATATTTCAGGAGTCCTGAATTTATCCTTAAATCAATTGTATTGCAACTCTCACCATCAAGAGTCAGCACACATTGGAAATAATGGTCTTGTGATCTGGCACTTCTGAAGCCTATTGAGTCACAGAAATGAATTTCGATTACTCATAATGGAATAAACCTTGACATATTCCTTCTAGACAGCCATACCAATTGGACTAGACTCTATATAGTGTGTTTGTGTGTGTGTGTGTGTGTGTGTGTGTGTATCAATCTGATTTTCATTCTATCATGAAGCCATAGAAGACACTCATAAAATTAACATCTATTGATTTTCACAACTGTAACAAAAACATTTATTTGCCCTGCTCCCACCTTCTGAACTTTATAAACAGCTTAAGATACTGTTTTCTCCTGCCCTGAGCTAGAATGTGGGTGATGGTGGTGGAAGTCCCTTGGTTGATTATTGCCTGCTTGACTTTGGGGTTTTTGGTTTCTGGTTACCTCTCCCCCCCCCCCCCCTCTGGTATATTTTGTTTTCTTTCATTTTTAACTGTAAGTCACCCAATGTTACTATGGAGTTGGCATCCTTGAAATTGGAAGGTTAAATAAAAATAAAGAATAAAGAAATAAAAATACAAAAGGTCGAACTTTAGCATTTCAGTACGTCAATATAGGTGATGTAAAAGAATTCTGTCATCAAATCCTTGTCAGCAGAGGGCAGTGATAGCAAATTAGAAACACAAGTCTATCGTAAAGCTAACCACACTAGCCAAGTGCTTCATTACCAAAGTAACAACTCAACCTCCTACAAGGGTAGCTGTGCAAGAACACTATTTATATAAGCACAAACACACTGAAGCAACCCCAAAAAACAAAATCTGTACAGCATCTCCCAACAAAATGGATACTCATGCAACTTCAGCAAAAAATGCCTGATCACTCAACCCAATAAAGCACAAGCTGTGAAAAGGATAACATTGCCTAGACATCAAAAACAACTCAGAAACATAAGCAGACTATTACAACTACATGGCATCACCGTAGTAATGAAATAACTAAAGTCCTCCAAAGCAGCCTAAGTAAACCAAAACATCCAGCAGTCCCAGAAGAAAAAAAACAGGAGTCTACAACATACAATGTAAGGACTGTAACCGCCATTGCATAGGACAAACTGGAAGAAGACTGACAGAATGCATCAATGACACACCAACTAGCAGTCCGAAGACATGATGAAAACTCCTTAATTTCATAGCACATGAACAGATTTAACCATAATTTCAATTGGGAAACTGTGGCTATCCTAGACCAAGCAAAGTCCCAAAATGCTAGAAAATTCTTGGAATTCTGGCACTGAAACAAATCAACCATCAACATGCACATAGAGACAAACAACATCTATATAACATTCAAAACAGGCAATCAAAAAGCCAAAAAGGGGGAAAAAGACCAAAATTCCTCCTCATCAGCAATCAATATCCAGATAAACAGAGATTTAACACCAAGATTAGCATGGTAACCAAATGAGAATTGTGGTACAGTGATAGTAAAGTACATAATTTTTCTTTCTTGACTTAAAATGTACAACTCGATTTGAATGAAGTATATGTAAGGATTGTGGAAGAAATGCACGGAATATATTTGTAACCAATCGATAGGCTTTCTACAAGATGTAATGAAAGATTATTCTTTTTTGTGTGTGTGTTTTTGTTTAACTAAAACAATAAAAAAGTCTAAAAAAAAACATGCATATAGAGATAAACAACATCTATATAACATTAAAACAGGCAATCAAAAAGCCAAAAAGGGGGAGAAAGACCAAAATTCCTCATCAGCAATCAATATCCAGATAAACAGAGATTTAACACCAAGATTAGCACTAGACCAACAATCAAGAAATGAACAATACCACAATCAAGGCACTGTCAACTCAGACAAACAAACAGTAAACAGCAGCCTAATGAAGCAACCACCAAGATCACTCCCATAAACACTGACAGGGCAATCCACTAGTATATAAAATGAGAACAAAGCCCACTCTCTTTTAGCATTGATGATGTTATCTAGTTTGGTACTGAAACATCTGCAAGAAAACAACCAAGCTCAGAGAGCAACAAAGACCCTACATATTATCAAAGCTATAAATCTCTGGGGAACAGATTTGGGTTTTCTACTCTCACTAACTTCTATATGACATGAATGTTAATATTAAAAAAGTGTCTTCCTCCATCAAAAGTTTGTAAAAGTGATGTCTGAAGAAAGATGAAAACTATATACAGACAAGTTTAAAATTGGGAAATATATGTTTAAAAAGCTCCATATCCAGGGAAATATAGGTGTCAAAGAAAATAAATCTGCATCGGAGCTTTGAGTAATCCAAAGAATAAAAACTGAAAATGCAGAAGGAGGATTATAGAAGGTGAGCAAGGGAACTGCTGTCTTCCTGAATCTGCTGACAGAAGCAATTCTGCTAGGAGGAACGCTGCACTAGATTTCATTCCCTATTTGCATTGCAGTATTTCATGGCAGAAACTGGAAAGCAGATAGAATTTATGTGTAGGCTGATGTTCTGGATTAGGGCAGAGAAAAAAATTAATGTGCTTGAGAAAGCAGCCAAAGGAACCCCCCCCCCCTTCTCCAAGTCATTCAATTTCTGCAATTTATTACAATTATTTTATATTTTAGTATTTATTTAGATTCTTTTATCATACTGACTTACAATATAAATGCATACAGAGAGCATTAAAGAATGAGGAAAATCTCAAGATTAATAACCACAGCAATAGAAATTAAAAAAGAAAAAAAAAAGAAAAGGAAGACTTGAAAAACTACATTATAAATATTTGAAGCCTGGCTTCTCTTACATAATCCTACACCCCAAATCATAACATTATACCCGCATTTTTTGGAGTATAAGATGCATCTTTTTTTCCTCAAAAAAGAGGCTTAAAATCTGGCTGTGTTTTATACACCAAATACAGTCTTTTTTTTGCCTCCTGAAGCCCCACCTCTTCACCAAAATGGCTGCACATACCCTTATGGAGGCTTTCAGAGAGCTCATGGGGGCTGGGGAGGGCAGAAATGAGCAAAAAACAGGCCGCTTTTTGCCCTGCCAGTCTCAGCAGCATCCTATAAGCTTCCATAAGGCTATGCATGCATTTCTTTTGACAAAAAACGGGCTGTTTTTGGGAAGTTTGCAGAGTGCAAAAACTTTTATTTTTTTCTTTTGGGAAGCTCTTTAACTGATTGATGAGAATTACATTGATCAAGTGCTGTGCCAGCAGAAACACTTATCTATCTACTGTATTTCTCTCTATCTTTATTTCTCTCTCTCTATACACCTACCTACCTACCTACCTACCTACCTACCTACCTACCTACCTACCTACCTACCTATTCTCTCTCTCTCTCCCTATCTATCTACTGTGTTTCTCTCCCTCTATTTCTCTCTCTCTACCTATCTATCTACCTACACACACACACACACTCTTTCCCTACCTACCTACTGTATTTCTCCATCTCTATCGCTTTATTTACCTACCTACCTACCTACCTACCTATCTACCTACTCTCTCTCCCTTACCTATCTACTATATTTCTCTCTCTCTATTTCTCTCTCTCTATCCGTCTACCTACCAACCTACCTACTCTCTAATCCCTACCTATTTCTCTTTCTCTCTCTATTTCTATTTCTATCTATCTATCTCTCTCCCTACCTACTCACTCTATCTATCTATCTATCTATCTATCTATCTATCTATCTATCTATCTATCTATCTATCTATCTATCTATCTATCT